AGGTTATGAGTATTGCACAGGTAGTCACTGCAGACAGGTTTTCTTCCAGGTTCACCTTGGCAGAGATACCGGGGGATGACAGTGATTGGGTCGGTCAATGATTTGTACCTATGGAGGGGGGCGCATGGCAGACATCTTGCCCAAGAAGAACGGACAAAGCCTATTGGTTACAAAAATCCAACTTAGCCAAGTGAGTCTGTAGCGGGCTGAAATCAAATGAATGGTCTACTATGGCGGCAAGTTCTGAAAACAGCTTCCGGCGATGCCTATCCTCAGGGGAAGAATGGAGTACTGGCCAATCCAATGTTCCATTGTTTAGTCCCCTTTCACCCTGAGAAGGGGTCCTGGTGCCGGTCGCTCACATATAGTTTGTTAGCCAATAAGAACTAAGATGTGTGAGGTCCATCTCATATCTATGGCCACCAAAGAGCGCCAATCCCCCGTCTAGAAGAAGAGGTCTCCAACCCTGCCGGACGCTTCCTTCCAGAGCAGTCCACCCCAATCACTACTGCTCCCCTATAAGATACACCACGCCCACAATACTTCCACCCCTTCTCTATTTCTACATGAACAATCGGCAGAGTTCCTGCTCGTGGACCCGTCTGGTATCCCCCTGCCTGAGGGTGGTCAGAGACTCTCCCACCACCCTGGTTTGTCTACAGAAGACCTTCGTTCCCCATTGCCAACACTATCACATGAACAGGAACATTCACTCTTGTCCAGTCCAAAGCATTCCTGTCATTGGACTGGACCACCGACCGCCAAGATCACAAGCAGATGCCCCCCACCCCCTCCTCCACCTGCCTTAGCAGATCAAAAGCCAGCCTTAGTTCTCCAATGGCTGAAACTGTGACGGACCGCCTTGGTACTCCGACTGGGTACATCCATCCGAAATCAGCTTCCTCCTCTCTGGAATCTGAAAATAATAATTACAGCCCAGACCTTCCCCCAAGAACCGGGCAGAACTAGTCTATTGGGGTAAAAAACAAGAACCGCCTTTATCGAC